AGATGCATCTGTGGATGCATGACAAGATGCGGTTTGCCTTCCTAACTGCATCCCCACACTGCTGGCCCACGTTCATCTTGGGGTCAATGATGACTCCACAATCCTTTTCTGCCTCTGTACTGACAAGAAGGGAGTTCCCCAGCCTGTAGGTATGGTACCGGTTGTTCCTCCCCAGGTGCATCACTTTGCACTTGTCGGTGTTGAATCCCATCCTATTCTCATCCGCCCACCCCAGTAACCTGTCTAGGTCTGATTGCAGCCTATTCCTCCCTTCTAATGTGCCCACATCCCCCCACATCTTAGTGTCATCAGCAAATTTGAACAGGGTGCTTATTACCCCCTCGTCCAAGTCACTAATGAAGATGTTGAACAGCCCGGGCCCAAGGACTAAGCCCTGCAGAACCCCACTGCCCACATGCCTCCAGGTTGAAAATGACCCACCCACCACCACTCTCTGGGTGCAGCCCTCCAGCCAGTTGGCGACCCATTTGACTGTGTGGGTGTCAACACCACAGTCCCCCAGTTTCTTAATGAGAACGGGGTGAGAGACAGAGAAAGGGGTTGAATGCAATCTAGTCGGGATATACAAATGGTTTAATCTTTTTCTTCCTCCAGGACAGTGGCAAGGAAGTGTTCCATGCTTTTTCTATACTAGACTTTTGAGAACAAGGTCTACAAATAAATAATGGTAAAAAAGTTTAAAATTCTGCAAATCTGGCACTAAAAATATGGCAAAATTCAGCAGAGCATAAGCTTATTATTTTGGTGAAGAAATTTTTGTTTTGAGGAATTAGTTTCTCTAAGAAAATTACAAATGTATAATCAAGAGTCTTCTAGGGTAATGTGCTTTTACTACACACAATAATAATTGTTAGAGGGGTAACCTTAACCTACTTCATTCTCATAGTCGGATATGCCCCCAAATGCCTGGGTAACGTAAAGCTTCTGTTATCTGCTCCTGTGACAAATGTCAGTTTCTTTAATGTTATAACCTGTCAAGTAATTCAGTTGATGCTTTCTTCTTTTTTTTTTTTTTTTTTTTTTTGGAATCAATTCCAAAACAGGAAACACTGGGTACAGACCTAGCTGTGTAGGCCCTAGGCCATTGGAAATTCATCTAATAAAATCATCAATAGCTGGCATTTCAATGGGTGTTTAGTTACGGAAAAGTGGAACAACAGCTTGAGGAAGGTAATACAACAGACACCAAGTGGTACTTCATTCCTCACTTTATATGAATGTAGGGGACAGCAACAAGTATGAAAGTAGTGACTGGTTATAGCTTATCTGCCACAGAATTCTAAATATTATATAGAACTCTACACAGTGTTTGCGGCTCAGCAACAGAATTAAAGCACCAGTGGTAGTCTTAGTTTTTATAAGAAAAATTAACTCCTTTATACAAAAATCTCCTAGACTGTTAGGATACATTGTGATACAGGTGAGGTAATTTTCTACTTACAAATCTGGCTTCTGTCCTTCCTGTATTTCATGCTGAGGCACTGGATAAAGTGCTTCATATGTTCTCTTATCTTCAGAGCCATGAATTGCAAATGCATTAAATTTGTCTGTGCTTGGTGGAAAATAACTCCAAGGAAGATGAGCTCTGCCTTCCCATTTGGTCTCTGTTCTGCACACTTCAAATGTTAAGGCAAGTTCTTGCTACATTAAGAAAAAAGCAAAAAGATGCAGATAGTCCATCTTATCTTCCAAACAATCACAAAACAACTAGCTGTCTAAAAAGATAATCTTTCATGGTTTATGGAAAGTATTTTATCACTTACTTTCCATATTCTTCTTCTGCCAGAAAGCAGGAGTACCAAGTGCTGTCCATGGCTGGTAAAAATAAAACAATGTTATTAAAGTAATGTAGATTAAATATACTCATATCTGCATCTACAAATATGAACATACAAATATTACAGAGCTGAAACAGCTCTTGCTACACTTATGTTGCCCTCTCCTTCTTATCTACCACTGTGACTTCTAGGACTTCAACTACAATGGCACTGAAAATACCAGCTATTAAAAAAAAAAGGTAAAAAAAAAAAAGAAAGCATTGTACTTACGGACACAGTTCAACTTCCAAGTACTGCTTAGTTTTCTCACCCAAGAAAAATGCTTCTACAACTTGAAAAATACATGCACCATCAGTACAAAATAGTGGTTACCTACTTCTTTCTACCCCTTAAACCTTATTTCTCACTAAAGTATTTTGTTTTCATACAGTAGTTTGACCTACAGGTTCCAGAATTGTACTACATTGTGAATACACCATCAGGAGGTTCCAAACCTGAGCAATCTTCTGATCAGAAAGTCATTTTAGAATGCCAGTGCCTTTTTTACAACAATCACACTTCAGAGCTTTCTACAAATAAGCAGGTTGGTTTAATTTAATTTTATTGCATCACATCCAGTGGTTCTCAAGCTGGAGTCTCTATAAAAATTGTGCCTCTGCTAACTAATGTTAGGTGTCAATGGGAAAGGAGCAGTACTAGCATAGACACATTTTATCAAATGATACCTGCTGCGAGCACAACTGACTAGGACCCAAGTGATGTTAGTCAACTGCACTCTTTAAAAAAACCCACCACAACCCATTTAAGTTGAAAGTGCATGGTGCTTCAAATTCCCACACTGATGACTTGAACATGAAAGACGAGACCAACAATAATAATTTTAAAAAGGAGTTAAGGGGAAAAAAGAAAACAAGAACATTCACAAAGAGCAAAATGCACATAAAAATCAGCTGCTAAGTTTTGCTATAGCAGTGATCCTCAGAGAAGAGCAAAATCAGGTGATGAAGCGTTTGAATTGAAGTTGCTTTTCCCAAGAACAACCTTCTAGACAGATGAACAATGTATTTGGAGGTAGGCTACCCTTACTGAATGACCCTTCACTTGATCAAATGTAAAGTATATCATTATCATCATCATCATCAAAGATTATCATGGTCTGAATACAAAGCCACTTGCAGCAAAGAATTCTAAAATGTGAATACTGACTTAATTTACTGCAGTATCAGCCATAGTAAAAGCACAGCATTTATAGTATACTACAAATTATCTCATTACAAGTACTTTTCCAGAGCAGCAAATAAATTATTACTTCCAGTTATAGAATGGACAAAATATAATTTACAATTAATTTCTTTAAATTATTTTGATAGTATTTTGAACGACTCCACTTTTTGGACTTTTGTAACAGACTGCATGTTAACTTTTTTGTGGAGTGCTAACATGTGTACTCCTCTCACCACAGCTGCAGATGGAGCACTGTTGGGAGTATATCAGACTTCAGATTATTTAGAACACCTGGAACAAGAAATACCATATTTACTCAAATAGAAAGGGGACCCTGATTATAACAGGACCACTCAGTAATTGATGAAAAATTTATAAATGTTATAATTTTCCAGGTATAGAATCTGATTATTGTAAGTTTTCCTTGAATCTGTCCCCCTCTCAGTGCTACAGCAGGGAAAATAAATATGGGAAGGTTAGGTAGCCCCCTGCTTTCTGCTTCCCCTGAACTTTTTACCCCTTGCTCCTCTCCTTACTTTCAAATCCTGCTCTCCCTGAGCACATAGAAGTGATAAGCAAATCTGAACATAGTGATCTTCAAATTAAACATGGCTGTAGCATTTTGCATATAGTTTACACTTAGGACATCCAGAATGGATGTTACTTTTTTTTTTTTTTTTTTTT